TCGCTCCACCGGTCCTCTCTTCCCCCCCGATGAGAAAAAACGGTTAGACATGGAAGATAAGACTGCGGGTTAGTGGAAAGCGGAGTTTGTTTTCGGGCAATTGCTTTAATCAATCCTGTTAGAGTTAAGGATACAGGAGCATGCAAGGCAGACCCAGGCTTTGTTTTGCATTGCTTATGTTTCAGGGTGACTGCTACAACCTGGAGAAGAAAAGAGAAATACAACAATTAAAAGAGAGAGAATAAAATAATAAAAGAGAGAAAAGAGCAAAGGGAAACAACGTTAGACGGTTAGTGAAAGTGATACAGTGCAGAAAGCATCATTGTAAAGCAGCAGGATATTACATACACACAGATTAGTTAAGGGATTATACTTCGTAAAAAGCTAGCTGTTACAGTTTTTTAAAGAATCACTTCATCATTTTATGAAGATTTAAGTTAAGTAGTTTGTATTTCTCTTAAGGGGACACTACCGGTAAATAACATTTTTACATTCAAGTTTACTGAAGTTTTAAATATTGAAATGACCTATTATCTTGTTGAATATGTTCACATTTTCATGTTTTTCCAGAACAGAAATATAATCACAAGATGTTAAAAAAGCTGGTTTCATTTGAGTAACATCTTAGTAAAAATATTTCCATAAAATGTGTTTTTGGATGTATTCTTTCCAAAAAACAATACGTTATGCAACTACAATAACCCAATATTGACCAGTGCATGAAAAGCTATATTTATTTTCACATCGCAAAGAAAACAAGCTTGTATTTCTCCCATCATACAGCTAATCAAAACTGGCATTTAACTAGGATTGATAGTGAAGCCTTCACTGCTGGTTTTAAAAATGTTTTTAAAATGGTAGACTCGAAGTAGAAAATGATTAGCGGTTTGTGAGAAAGCAAATCATAAATAAGAAGTGGAAAACCAGTGGGAAACATGATGTAAAGTTGTAATTGAATGCGTACATTAAAGTGAAATAGCTGGTGCAGCAAATTATAGGATTAACACACACATATATGATCTCAACATGTGAGAAATAATAATGCAACACTTTTCCCTCAAGTGACAATCAGGAGTCCCACAGTGTGTGACAGTAAATAAATCAAACTTTACAATTCACATTGACATATTTAAACCACAATGTTCACATTCCATTAGAGAGCGAGGTTAAAAAGGAATTATACATGATTTCAAACCTATGTAACAGATGTTATTTACAGAATAAGACTGTGTAACCCTAACCGTTAACCCTAAGGCTCATCACTGAGGAGCCAATGTACCACAAGCAAACAGAAGATATACGAATATGTGAGATATATTTTCTAGTCTCTTCTCATCGTCCTTAATTGTTGGATACGTACTCTGCAGACTTCCAGAAGTGTCCGGGGTGTGAGAGCCGGCGGTTGAGTTTGGGCAGCTTCTCCAGCATGTCGGCCAGCTGGGTGAAGGGGGGGCGGTCCCTCAGGTCGTACGCCCAGCAGGCAGACAGGATCTCCTGAGATACAGAACACTTTGAGAAGATGCCCCCGCTGAAGGACACACACTCTGTGGCTCTGGACCATACCATATGATACCATGATACTTTATTTTCAGACCAAGTCTGACATTCAGATAGAAACCTTATATGCAACGTCAACAAGGACAAATTATTAGACTGGAAACCCAGAAACAGATCTCTATAACGGAACATTACAATCACTAAAAACAACATGTTAAGATAAGGTACTGGTGAACAATAGAGTGCTTCAGTCTAACTTGATTAAATCGTGGGACTCTGTATCTCCGATTTGATGGCAATAATTCATATGAACTATTTAGGACATGGGTGGGGTCAGAGATAATATGTGGGCAAGCCTTGGTAAATTATAATGTTAGATTGATTCATACTAGATCATAAGTGATGATACATTGATTGACGTTTAGATGCATGTGTTAAGATACTTCTATCACAACAATTTATATATTACCCCTTTTTTCTTTCATTTTTTCCCCTTTTACACATTGAAGTGACTTCTCCCATTATTGTTTTCAATGTAAAGTTGGTACGGTTTTGTTTTACACCAATTTAAAAAAGTCGGATTTCCACCTAATGGTTGTATGCCTCGGACCAGTCAAGTTGAATTAGATATATCCATGTCTGTTTAAAATGTCATCACTTGATAATTTGAAACTATTAGACATTTGTGTGAATTTTGTTTGCAATAAGAGAATGAATGATTGAGGTATGACGTGTTTTGTGACCGGTCACTGTGACTTTGACCTTTGAAAATATTATCTGTTTAAGTTGAACATTTTGCCAAATTTAAAAGGAATTCCCTTCCAAAAACAGATGATGATGATAGATCTTAAACGTTTTTACAACATCCACATCTTTCTGCATCACCAGAGCACAGGTGACTGATATAAGCAGAATAATCATGAACCTGTCTCAGTGTCACAGTTTATGTTTGTACTCACAGAGACCTCCTTGCCGAGGCTAATTTCCGCCAGGACCTTCTTAATGCCCTCTCCGCTGCCCACCTGCCAGATGGTAGCTTCCACATGCTGGTTGGTGATTGGCCAGTCCCTTGCTTGAAGCTCGTACCAAATGGTGCTGAAAGGAGGGAGGGGGGAAATGAAGAAGAATGATTCATCTGTCCAGTAAGCTCTCAGACAGACGCAGGTGTGACAGGAGTGTGCAGAACTCACCCAAAGGCGTACACATCTGCCGAGGTGGAAAAAGGAAGTTGGTCCTCGTTGTTACCCGGGCTCATCCTGCGCACAATCTCCGGGGCGAGGTAACAAATCCAGCCATGTGGAAGTTTGAGTTTGTTCTCACGCCTGGGAAAAAAACGGGGGGAAAATGGGTACACATATGTCAGAAACAAATCAAATGGAGTGGAAAATCTGATCATTAACTAGAGTGGAAAATACATCAACTAAATGTAGTCCACCTCCAATTCCTGTGTACAAAAGCTATTCATGAAGCAAAGGGAGTGTTTATTTTCTTCTCCGATTTTACAATCAGGAGAAAAAGAGTAGCTTTCAAGTGAACTGCCTGCAGGACTCAGGAATGATTACAAATCACTGCATCTCTCCAGGTAATGGCAGTGCGGTGTGAAGAGCTCTCGGTGTCACTTTGTGTTTTTAAGGCCTCTAGAGTTTCTTACCTCCCCTCCTGAACCACTCCAGAGATCCCAAACAGCCCGAAGTCAGTGATTATGACTTTATTGGTGTCATGAAAAACGTTCTTCGACTTCAAGTCTTTGTGAACAATGCCTTTAGCGTGCAGATAGCCCATTCCCTGCGTTGGAAGACAAACGACAGTTATAAATTATTATTATAGTCCTATTTTTCTGCGGAATGGCTTTTTAATGCAGACAACATGCTCTTTTAAAATGAAACATAAACCATACATCAATCAGCAGTTTAACATATTTGGCTTTATATACGGATTTATATCCTGTTTCTGTGAATGAAAATATTTAGCTGCTTGTGGACATCAAATGTGGCTTTGACATTTGTTGTGCTTAAATGATTACAAATGCATCAATATGTGTTCTGATAATAGATATAGAAGAAACATTACCTTTACAATCTCCTGAGCAATTTGTCTGGTCTTATTAATATCCAAAGTGTTTTTAGTGTCTCGAACAACTGAATACAGTGTTCTCCCTTTGCAGAAACTGTGGAAAAAGAAGAAGAAAAGATTCAATTTAAAATAAGAAACGTTTATTCGGTAGGGGTAAAATCACAATACAATATTAGATCAATTATTTGGACAATGATATCACATTTGCCCATATCACAATGTTTACCCTAATATACTAATTAAATAGCTAAAAAGAGCATAAAGTGTTTGTTGTAAAAGGATCAGATTGTATTTATTCTTTGTAAGCTGTTGTGTGAATCTATACTCCTACTGCCTGAATCTGCTTTATGCTTTTCACTTTCTTTGGTTCTTTAGTAGTGTGTGAGCTTAACTGTGTGTATTAAACTAAAACTGATCATTTTCTATCAGCTCAGATTTTATTTCTGCTTTTTAAAACTTTAGTACGTGCTCATGTATTTCAGTGTTGGTGTAGAGGCTACTGCCTGAATGTGCTTCATGAAAGGCAGGATTTCCTATAAATAAAATAATTTCTGATCCTAAATATCTTGGTTTCTTCTTTTCTAGGGTTACATTTTTTTGTTACACAATACATTTCAACATCTTATAGATATTTATTTTCTCTTGTATCTATTTGCATTTTATATTGAGGTAATCCAAAATTAACAAAGTAATCAGGTCACATTACTTTTTTAATTGATACTCAGATTAGGTTACTGATTACTTTTTTTTTTACAACCCCCCCAACCTTGCAGACAGCATCATACATTAAACACATCAGTTGCATTTATATCATCTCTACTATTAAAGGCCACATACAGTATCTCATGTGTAAGCATTTTTAGGGAAGGAAGAGCACTTTTAAGACAGATGCCCCCATGTTCAAAATAAAAGTGAGTTTTAAAGATGAGGATAGGCAACAATTATATATGGTCGTTGGATATTGATACCAAGCTCTTGGGTTAAAATCATCTTAGAGGTGCGTTCGATCCTGCTCTCACCTCGTGATGATGGCCAGGTGGGGGGGGGCCATGCAGGCCCCCATGAAGAGGACCACATTCTCGTGCCGGGTCTGTCTGTAGTTCATCACCTCCTTCTTGAAGAGCTTCAGATGGTCCTGGTTGTTCCCGTCGATCTCCAGCAACCGGATGGCCACCTCTCCGTGCCACCGCCCTTTGTGCACTTTGCCCCAGCGGCCCTGAACAACACAGCATGTTAGAGCCACTATTTGGTTTTTATAAGAAAGGCCACCTAATCGAGAGGTCTGTAGTCAACGGAGTATAAAAGACTACAATTCCCACGGAGTCTCATCTAAAAGTGACAGAGATGGGCAACCTGTTAGAAAGACGCCGTAGAGGCAGAGTTTTTAACCTTTCAATTACCCTTTAAAGGTCCCCTATTATGCTGTTTTTCATCAATATATTATAGGTCTCTGATATATACAAAACATGTCTCTGAAGTGTTTGGCTCGAAATACCAAACGGATCATTGTAGCATCCCATAAACCCCTCTGTTTCAGCCCTGTTTCAAAAGTGTTAATTCTCTTTCTGTTACTTTAGAGCAGGGGTGCCCAACCTTTTTTGAACCGAGAGCTACTTTTAAAGTTGCCAGTCTGCCGAGATCTACCAATCCAAATAGAGAGGCGTAGCCATTACTGACAGCCTACTACCAGGTAAGTACAAACTTCTACTTGTATAACACTGACCTTTGTACGATTAATACTCCATAAAATACTGCAGATCCTTTATCTTACCTCTTTCTAATCTACACACATACAAGTATTTAACTGAAGTTACACAACAGTGTTGTTG